GTCATGTGTGAGATTGATCGTCGACAGTTCTCTTTCGGAGAAGACAGCGGAGGAGACAGCGTCAGAGAGAATCGTTTTCACGGCTTGAATATGGGCGCGCGCGCAAACTCTGGGGCGCTTCTTTGTGCGGGTGACAGGTCGACGGTGAAAAATTGTGCATCTTGTCTTCTTCGGGGTTGGGAAAGTTTCTTCACCGTCGCGACGTCGAGCTCTCTTACATGCGGTCACGTGACTGACGTCAATGTGCGAATGCATACGCGAATGCGACGCGGAATAATATCACTTTCCTGACGGAAAAGTTGGCGGACATTGTTGAAACAAGTGAATATTTGTCATTCGCTCGAGTTATATTCAAGGTTTATCTATGCAAATCCACTAGCAAGCGATGCTTATTACACTTATGCTCGGATTAATGACGATCGTGCTCGAATGATTTAGTCTTAAACATACTGAAAGTGCCATGACTAATTTATACTGTTTTTAACTGTTCTCGTCTTTGTTTTACTGCAACGTGCATGTGTCGATTGTTTTATGCAAGTATTTGAAAACAAGTATTTTACACGGTTTCAAAAAAATCTTACATATAATATAAAGGTACGTTAGACAAGTCCGTAATTATCATTATTTTTATTATTATTATATATTATATAATAATTAACATCATCATCATTATTATCATTATCATCACATCATTATAATATTTTTTAATGCACGCGCATAAACAGACTTCAAACAGACAAAGGTACATATTGAGGATACTTTTGTTATGTTATTCAGATTGACATTTCTAATATACGTATGTATATATTCTAGGATTTAGCAAATCCACGAAATTCCGTTATCGTCTGATTTTTGGTGCGCTAACAAAAGAAGACGTCGAGAATCTTTAGGAGAATTACGCTTGTAATTGCAGTTGCGTACAATACGAAGAATTCCTCCCATTTCACCCTCCCGCGGTGCAAGAATTTAGATCTGCACTAGAACGAGTCGCGAAGGGATATAAAAGGGCTTGGGTTATGTTTGGATTCACTGGTGTGTTTGCGCAAAAGCCTGATTACACCATAAATCGAATCTCGGCCGACCGCGCGGAAGCTCGGATTAAATGAAATTCCTATGCCATCTCGTATATCTTTCCGGTTTGTAGCGGCGGTTGCTTCGGCAACGAGAATCGCGTCAATTCAACGTTTCGCGTCTGAGAAGCTTTTCAAGACACTTTGCGTGAAATATACAGGAAGATTTGAGGGCGTGGATCACCTTACTCTTATTAAATGCAATTTACTAGGTTGATTGATAACCACGACTGGCGTACCACTCTGTATATAGGGAAACAATAAATCTCTCCAACGGTTAAAATGCGAAATTGCTGGATATCCGATATCCCCAAGGCTTAATATATGGGACTTTAAAATATCCCTGTCAGTTGTTTCAGATAAAGAATTGTGGATCATTTTACTATAGATGACAGATGCGATTTTAACATAGCATATTCTAGATTTTCTAGAGTATACAGCATATGAATTTGTATACCTTATACGTTATTAATTTTAACTATCCTTTTTTAAATTGCGATAAAATAATTTTCTCGTGTGAAATAAACATACGTCAATTTTCTCAACAATGTATTTACTTTATTCAATATCATACTTTCCATTATTTTTGCATATTCCGTACTCTGTTGGCTGTGTCGTTCGACAACGTTTCTGTCTCGAGATACTATTCGTTCCGACGCGTTTCGTGGTGCTACATCGTCTCGTTTTAACTGTAGAAAGGGAGATGGACAGATAAGAAATGCGAGGCGGTGATAAAGAAGAAACGGGATGATTCGTGAGAGAGAGACAGAGAGAGAAGAAAATGAATCGAACACGGTCTTTGGGTGTGGGCGGGCAAGCCAAAAGATCGACAAGATCGATAAGATCGCTCGATCGCGGTTCGATGCTCGCGGTTGAATTGTCAACTGGTTCTGTCGATTCATTGAACGATCAAGATTCAGGACGCGGGTAGCTCTGGAGGAGCTCATGAAAGTCTGTAGGGAAGAGAGCTCGTGACGCTAACGCATCTTATGATGCTTCTTGGACGAAAAAAAAATTCCTGAATGCTGTGTCCAATTTGACTCTTCTACAACATATTATGGTCTACACAATATTTTTTTATATTTTCTTTTATTGTACGATACAAAAAAAAATTAGTAATTGTATTAACTTGACCGTAACGACGCTTTGATGCAACGTTACAACTATTGGACGTGTGAAAGAATTTCAGGATAAGAAATCCTTTGATTACAGAAAATGTGGCTACCCTGAACGACTTTATAATCAAAAATACCGACTCAGCGAATTCCCAAACGAACTCAACGTTCCAGCGTAGAGCTGTAAAAGTATCTGGCTTTGGAAAGTTTTTAACGAGCTTCTTCGCTCGTCTTTTCCTCGAGACCGAACCTAGTGTTTACTCTGGTAAAGCAAGACTTGGCGACGCTGGTACCCGTAGATGGAAGCGCGGTGCACCATCGTTTGTTATTTGTCTTCGTTCCGGTGTGGTGGTTTACCGGCGAAAAATGTACCTCTTCGAAATGAAATGTGCAAGCAGCAAGTGGCTACCGTTTGTCTTGCGTGCCTCGGAGCGATGTTAATTAAATTGCTCGCAATCGGGTTTTATCAAGAATTAATATCAATTAAAAGCAACGATCTGTTGGCGATCGAGATTGATACGCTGTGAAATAACGAAGTGTCTTGTTTATTTCAGATTCAGATACTTTGTTTCTATGATAAAACAAACGATTTCCCGATGCCTTGCTTTCCATCACTCTTTTCAAGATTTCTTCATAACTAATGTCTGTGATAATTTTATAAGCATTATCTTAACTAAATATTTCCTATACGGGAAAAATGTTAATTACGTTAAAAATTTCTATAATTTCTATAATTTCCATATGGAAAGGAAAACAGAGGGACATGAATAATTTTAAAAATTACCGACTACTTAAAATATCAAGGAAATTTTCATCATCATTGTAGAAGAAATGATTGAGTCATTATTAAAAAAACATAATTAAGCTTTCACACATTAAATTTTGTTCTAAAAGTCTGGTATATTGTACATGAATTAATATATTCTTTTGAAATGATGAGAGTACTTGATAAGAATATTTAAATAAGAGCGTTTGGAATATATTACAAATGTTCTTATACTTACAGGTTCAAAAGAATGTACTAATTCATAAATCAAATATAAATCAAACATAAATCAAACTAGACTTTTAGATGTAAAAGCTTAATGTTAACTTTGTATTTTAATAAGTCATTACCACCTTTCTATCTACCACGATGATTAGAATAGGTAATAATCTTCCTTAATATTCAGTAAACTGTAGTAGCATTTTGACTAATTAAGAGTATTCATGTTCCTCTGTTTGCGTTGTAAAATCCAATCATAAAATCTAATTCGACCTCAGTACGCGATACTTTTAGCTGGATAGAAACCAGATACTGAATGAAGACATTTGGCCATTTCCAGGCTGCGATTTTGCTGGTCGACCGCTTTCACGGAATCACGTCATGAACTTTGCTCGTTACAAGCGCCAGAGCGGACGCACGGAAAGGATCGTGCTGCGACGTTAATCCTTTGACAGTTCGAGAACGGGTATTTGCCGAGCTAATGTCACGCGAGAGAGTAGGACGGGGCGGGCGGCAAAGTGGAAGGAGACGCCGGATGGAAGAACAGCGCGGAAGGGGAAGAAACGTGACAGGGACAACCCTCACGCGAATGTCCGACCCTTTGTTTGAGCTCTGTCAACCGAGATACATTTTCCGTTTCGCACCAAGGGTGCAAAAGCGATTGTTCGACGTTTGCTGGAGCTGCGCCTGTAAGAGCATCTCTCAGCTGCACTTACGCGCATTACGGCACCCTCCTTTTTATTTCTTTCACTGCACGAGCTTTCGCGGTAACCGTCTCGCAAAGACGGATTCCAGCGATACAATGTTTTATGGTAGGACTGTAAGTTTTTAATAGATAAAATTTATCTGAAAAACCGCGTATAGTACATAAGATTTATGTTATAATATACAGATACGTACAATCTAATACTGATGAAAAGGATCTCGTATCAATATTAATATTATATATAGAAAAATGATATTGAAATGGGTTTTCACATAAAATATAGAATTTATCGTGTGAATAAAAGATCTCATAGACACAAACTCAATAGTGGATAGTTTATGAGTTATGATGTATCAAAGGTGTAAAATTTGTACTCACATTAGAGCATCTTTTTTATTGAACCTTATTTTTTTTATTAAACGTCTATGATGTCTTTTGCTCACCAAATTACATACTACATTATATATGAAAATTAATTCATTTCAGAACTCAATTTTCCTTTATAATATGTCGTTAATTCTTATGACTTATATGATATACATCTAATACATAATGAGTGTAATAACATGAGCTGCTTTAATCAGCGATCAATTAGCGATCTTCTCGCGATCGTGTTCCTGCGGTGGGTAGATACATGCTCCTGGCATGCGAGCTGAAAGTAATAGTATTGTATGAAATATTCATGGTACCAATAACGGCGCGAATCACGGTATTTCGTGTATACTCGGCAGGTGCAGTCGCTGCGGTTGCGTCGTCGTTGGTCGTCGTGTAAGTGTAATCCGTGCCGCTTAATCGCGTGCCTGGAGTATGTCAGGAATCGATTGTAGCGCGGGAATCGGTATTAGCACTCCCCGATTATGTAAAGCTCGAGCGATTATGGAGATCGAATTAAGCTCGTGGCGCGCGCCCGCGCACTCAAACGGGACTGACGCGTGAAGAGAGGGTGGACTGGGGGTAGACTGCGGATGAAGGTGGTACAGAGGGGTCTATATGTGGCATAGGGCAGGGGTCGTGAGTGCTTTTCGCGGAGGTACCGTAGCCTCTCTACGGTAGAGAGTAGGGGGCTTGCAATTCCCGTAAATTAAAGGACAATCGAGCCGAGGTCACTCCCCATTGTTGCTGGCTTTGGTTTCAACGGCACGACCGGACAATGCGCATCCAGTGAGATTCGCTCTCGTATTTCATGTAACTGCCAAACGCTCGTAGTTTCCGACCCGAAAGAGAAACGGAGAACGTGTGCCGATGAATAGACAAACGTATAAATACGGAGGCAAAGAATGAATGCGATAATGACGACAAGGAAGGAGAATCAAGAAATGATATTGTATGTTTACAAATTCACTTCCGATATTATCACTTCCGCTAATCACTTCTAAATAGCTGTACACAGTTTCTATTGTCTCTGGAGGCGAAATAATATCTTGGGGAGTCAGCATTAGTAATCGTACCGCAAGGTCTACAAGGTGTTCGCTCTTTAAGCTCGTTACGTCGAAACTCTGCAAGTTTGGTGAGTACCTTGGCACCAACAACTGCCACCTGCACGAGCTCGCGTTTACACATTCCTCACCAAATTTCGTTGGATTAGACTCTCAGCGACAGTGAGATCTCCGGAGATCTTGGTTTACCTCGATTCGTGACGGTTTGCCTTGAGTTACTGGCGTACTTTGATCTTCGGCTTCGATAAGTCGCGAAAGGATCCCCTTCCTGTGTCAATTGCTTGTGTAAACTTTCATCGAGTTCCCGACGCGATTGCCCGCAGTCGCGTGCTGCTCGGATGGCGAATCGATCTTGCCGCGGTACTTAAAGTCAAACAAGCTTGTACAGATATGTAAATCGTGTTACGCTCTCGAAGTCTTGCCCAGCTAGTCGATTAATTTGATGTATTTTAATTCCCCTGCCGGTCTCGAGCTGTTCGTAATTGCTCACGAAAGGCCAGTCCTCAGTGAGAATTATCTTTTAATTGATCGAATAATTTTATAGATAAAGGGAGCAAGAATATCTGCAACTGGAATCATGATGGCTAGTTTATTTCTTGCCAGTCTTGTGTCAGAAATTATTTATCTACGAAAAGCTTGTACGATGAGACATAATATAAAAAATATATTTTATTAATGTTCTCATTAAAAACTTGTATATAAGCGAATTAAATAAAATCACATCTTACGCAAGAGTAATTTAAAGCAAATCGATAATGTTCCAATAAATTATAATAAATTAAACATATTATGATACAAAGTAGTGTAGCTTGTAAAAAGTTTTAAGACTAGGGAAAACTTGCTCGTTGGCACAGTTTTCACAACTTTGAAATTCAACTTCTAAGCAACTAATTATCGTGATTAAACTGTAGTAGTAGAAAGAAACTTGTTCTACATTTTTATGGTAGGAACAAATCTGTTTAGTTCCTTTGTAGTAAATGAAATACGAATATGTTGCACATTGTAGTTAACTTGCCTCGATAGCAGGAAATTGAAGAAACATTAATACAAATTTTGTAACGTTCGAAAATTTATTTGTCTATTCTTGAATTAGATTTTTCTTTTTTTCTTGTAATACTTATTTGATTTAAATAAAATTTAGGGAAAATCTCTGGTGATAAATACATAAACGGGACACAATGCCAACTTGCCTCTTGTGCCAACGAGATATCCTATAACTTGACATAAAGGACAAAAAAATTTGTACATACAATACTATTATAATATCTTACTCTATAGAAAGCAATCTATCGAACGAGTAATCTTTAAATAGATCAAATCAAAGAGTCACTTCCATTCCGTTATGATGGAGTATTGCAGAAGCTTTTCTGACGCACGCATTTATAAAACGAAGACAGCTCCTTCTACCAAAACGCATCCCTGTCAAGAGAACGCGCCGTATCCCGCGGCGCAGAAGTCACAGGCAGCCGCTCTCTCGTGTCCTATTAAAATCCGTCAAACGCGGGCAATTAAAGCTGTGGTGGCCAGCCGCGTCATATAAATCAAGGATCAATAAATTAGCGGACGGTTAAAGCTCGGGGGGTTGTGACTTTATCTGTGCGGTGGCATCGCGGCGCGCTGCATCGCGCGCGGCTCGACCCGACCCGACCCGACTGAGGGAGGCAGAAGCGGAAGCTGGCCCCAATAAAACACTTGCCACCCGGCGCTCTTACGTTTACGTCTGCGTTTGCGCCCGCTTCTCCGTTCTCTAATCTGCATTTTAAATGTCGACGCCCCTACGTGGCGTATAGATAACGCCGGGACTGAAATCCACCGCCGCCGCCGCCATCCTTGCCACTCCCGCCGACGAGTAACTTCTCTTTCTCTCTATCTTTTTCTTTCCATCTCTTCCTCTTTCTCTCTCTCTCTCTCTCTCTCTCTCTCTCTCTCTCTCTCGTCAGTAGTCCCTTCGTCCTCGGATTCACCGGATGCGCTGCCACCGGATACCTCGCGAGTACATTTTCGCGCACGCCGCGGAGATAAAAGTACCTGCCAGGATGAGCTACGGAGATCCCATCCGTGTACCGCTATGCTGAGAGCCTGTCCGCGAGCATTCACCAGACGACTTCATTGTTCACCATACTTTTCGGAGTTCCGCCTTTCCGTGCGGGCGATATCGGCCCAGTCTGCAGCGAATTCTTTTTGTTTCAAGGATAACGAACTGTGCGGCAGCGCTCCTCGTTCGCATGAAAGCTGGTTTATGGATCGTTTAAGGTTGTTTTTTTATGGCGCGACTGAGAGCTTTATATTCATTTCAATATTTGTTTTTTACTGGGTAAAAATCAGGATGAGAAGGTAATGCTGAAGAAGGTAATTATGACTCTTGATATTTAATGGAGTATAAAAAATGTGTCAAGAATATGTAAAAAAGAATTTAAAAGATAAAACGTTTTAAGACCTAGTAATATCTTTTATAGCAATGCTTCAGTAGTCATATTGAAAAAGACATTGTCTCGGAGTCAAAAGATTTCAAGATCGTATTCTGAATGAGGTAATATTTTTTTGTAATAAATTCTTTACAAGGTTTTAAAATGCTAGTAGCGTTATTATCAAACAGATAATCAATTGTGATATTATTTTGTGATATCTTTATCTTTAATTTATGATTATATTCCAAGCTCAACGACAAGTGGCGTACAATTTATACTGAAAGATGTTTGATAAATTTAGAATTTACGTATAAAAAAATACTATTATATTAAATACCAAGATAGATAAGACCTTCTTCCCTATATTGACCCTTTCCTTACTTATTTCATCTTTTAAATATTCTTGCACTTCTTACTTGTGTATCTATCTATAAGAGAATTTCTTGAAGTTTATGATGCGTATCTTAAGGAGAAGTTTTCAACAGCTTCTGTCTTACCTCCGTAAAAATATCTTCCTTCTGCGCACGACGCCCCGCGTTAAGTATAGACGCTCGAGAGATCACCCGGCATCTGTACTGCCGTGGAGATCAGCGGAAATGAGGCGTCGCGGTTTCGCCGACGACATAAATCCCATCGTCACTGGCTCGAGCCGAAGAAACGCTCGATTTTACGGCTCCGTCGAATTCAATGGAACAAGAGTTACGACGTACCGAATGCTTCGCAAGAGGGAGCGATATCATAGCAGCGCACAAGGGGAAATGAATCAGGGGCGATCAGCCCGTTGGCCAAATGACCAAATATGATCGTTCGAAGTGGATGCTCTTTACTGTTTTTCCCTCTCCTCGGTCGTACATTAGTTTCAGTGTCCATTCGTGTCAGTTTCGTAAAGAAGAATATTTTAATTACCGATGAAAGTTTTCCGAAAAATTTGAAGATAACTATTTTCTTTATGAGATAATTATTTTTATTTATTTTTTCATTAGATTTAAAAGCACGTTTCATAACGAGAAAATTTTGTTTTTATAAATTAAAAAATGTATTTGTTGCTTAAAAAATTTTTTTTTTAGAAATAAATATAAATATTCTCTTTCAGGTTTTGTAATGCACCTTCAGACAAAAGAATGCAGAGAAGAAAGACGTCTACATAAACATACAAATCGTTCATATGCGAAGAATACAAATGCGATGGAGAGGAGAGACGAGAGATGATGCCGATGGGCTGCCACTCCCGGGAAAAGTGCTAGTAAAGTCAAAGGGACAACGTCACATCCTTTTGGGTGGGGTATTCCTCTCTAGCTTCCCCTACGGTGACTTATGCAGACCCCGTCATCGTACGCACAAACAATAGCTTTTCGCGAGCGACTGCGTGAGTCGTGAAAAAGTGAGACAGCCGTGCGGAAGAACTCTTTGTCTTTGGGGTACATTGGGGGTACTTTCGAGGGGACCAGTCCGAAGGAGAAAGGTCCACGCTTCGCCAGCCATTCTTCCTTCACTTACTAAGAACGAACGCGAGCCTTTTGTTTTACCTTCAAGGAAAAAATATTACTTGGAGAAAAACTTTAACTATAGAAATTACAATCTATCATTTGACTGCGCCTTTTTTACCCTCGTTAAAAACATTATAACGTCAAGGTTGGATTGGTAATGCTATTTTTCAATAAAAATATACGACTGTGATAGTACGCACAGTACTATGTTTAAATAGTACGATTATGATACATATCTTTTAATTTGTTGAAAAATAAATGCACTAATCAATTTTGGGAATATTATTTCTCGAAGGCAAAGAGACGTGTTATTATCATAGATATTACATGAATCGCATTTTGTCATATTGTATATTATCGAATCAACACAAGGCTTTCCAATATTAGAGAAAAATAATATTTTTGTAAACATTTCTCCAATATACATATAATTTCTCCCTCTCTCTTTCGCTGTGAAATTTAATTTTAAATCATTTGTTATTAAATACTATCTGGAATTGCATTTTCTATTATTTCAAAGTAAGAACTCCGAGCGAGCGTTAACAATAAGATGTGGCGCCATACAACGACACGCGTCAAACGCGCACAGTCTTTCGCTGTTCCATTCTCTCACCTAGTTGTAAACCAACAAAGCTCTGAGCAACACAATAGCGCCGCCTCACACCGAGGCACTTACATGGCAGACTAGAACAAAGTAGCGTGACACTTCCAGTAACAGAAGCGTCATCGGACAGAGATACGTCGGAATGTCGGCGTGCTGGCGCACTGTCTATCTGTCCTCGGCAGACAATACGAGATCCGAGGACAGACGTGGCCGAACCGCGCCCCTTTCATGTACCGCTGATTGATACCCTTGGTCCTGTCCAACGTGGGGGATGCGACGGTAATGTCGCCCTCGTTGCCAGTCTCGCGTACGGTCACATTATCAACGCCAGGTCCTAGGTGTACCGATTAACCGAGCATTCGATGCTCGACATTGCCGAAAATGTCGAATCGCGCGACTGCCGTTTTCACGTGTGCTGAAATAGACGTTCGCAAATAAATGCTCGCAAAAGCAAAGAAAGGGACCTTCTAATCAAAGTCGAAATAACGTCAAGGTTGGATCGGCGTAATGCTATTTTTCGATAAAAATGTATGTATAGTACACATAGTACTATATTTAAATAGTACGATTGTGATAGTGCGTATGTTGCACCTTTTAATTTGCTGAAAAATGGAGGCACTAAATTTTGGGGATATTATTTCGCGAGGGCAAAGAGTGTTATTATCATGGATATTACATGAATCGAATTTTGTCATATATTATCGAATCAACATATTATATTCTATTTTATTAATATAGAAAAATTATTTTCTACTACTAACTATCAAATTTTAATGCACGTGCGTACTTTGAGAAAAGTGACTATAATTCTATCATAAAATAATTGAGAGGATGGTTGGAATAAAGATCTAATTACAAAATAATTATATAAAAAATGTACAGTTGACGCCGAAAGTGATTATAAATAACTATATGATAACTGCAATCATTTCTATCTTTTAATACATTATCGCGTAGTCTTTACAACGTCCTTTATCTTGGCACATTCTCTTAACGCGCATAACGATTTTTCCGAAAATATGGAATCTTGAAAGGTCACTTTTTTATCGTACACGATAGAATGTTCGCGATACGGCACGTGTATCTTTATTTTATGCCCGTAACTGTGTGTGAGTATCAACTTGACCAGGACATATTGAAGTGCGGTAGCACTATTTCCGCCTGTCGTCGAGCGACGATCGGTATTGCCGCGCTTCCGGCTTGAACTTGTGATAAATGTCATTCCCTTCGCATCGAACTAACGCGAGCGGCAACATTTCAAAGGGCCTTTCCCGGTGGCGGCAAAAGGGCGGACCCACACGAATACGCCGTTGCGGAGTTATCCGTCGCATCCGTCGCTTCTTGTTAAAGTGACATTCGCGAGAGACGATCAAAGGCGACATTCCTCGCAGGCAAGAATCTGCGGAATTGCTTTCCGGACGCAAGCTGGCAAGCCGTGCGTGACGATTCGGTGAGGAAATTAGCGGGTCGTTGCCTATGCGGCTCCTTGTCATCGGCGTCGCGTCGCCGTCGTGCCGCGGGCATCGCCTGAATTCGCGTGAGTGCCGTTTTAATTATGCACAAAGCACCGTTTATAACGCGAGTTATACCGCGAAAAGATTTATCGATCTATGTACACGTTAGCATGACGCGGATAATACAAGCAGGTATGTTATGTCTTTATTTGCTCGAATTTAAGAATTTACGCGATGTTTCATACAACATACTATAGATTTTTATCATAATGTGCAAATTAGCCATTTATACATATATCTTACACATATCTTATTTTCTTTAAATGTAAATTATGGCATAATATTAATGTAATATAAAATTTTATTTTCTAATTATTTCTATACAGCTCATTGAATTCTGATTAAAAATAATTTTGGCAATTACTTTTAATAAAGATTTTGGTATTCTAATATAAAGTTATTGTCACTGAAATCTGTATAAACGGAAAATCAAATTTTTTCCTAAAATAATAAATATATGATAAAAGTTTAACAAAATTATTTCTGTCGAATTATATTATTGCGTTATATTATTTGTGAAATTGATTGTTTAATGTATAATTTTATATAATATTATGAGATTGCAATAATAAATTCTAAACATATATAGTACTTTTACCACTTTGATTTCAATATAACTTTTGACATATTGTAATTTCAATTAATCACAAAAGGCTTTTGCGTATATCGTGAAAAATTGCAGATTAACGATCAAATCAAATAATCGCGAATATTGATGTCTTTTTACGTAGCTTTCATAATTTGCTGTATATACTGTCGAAGATAAATTATTCTGTTTACATCTACTATTTCTCCGTTATTCGCAATTTTCCCAATATCGGCGTAAGCGTTTTCAGTTATGTAAACTTCGGGTAGCAGGTAATGGTTATTCAACTGCTCCAATAATTTGATGAATGCCAATGCTGTAATCTGCGATTAAAATATAACTGTGAGACATATATGTATATCTTTATGCGTAATACATGACATATGATCTTATATTCTATGATATCAAATAGAGTAATTTTTTATGCATGTATTTGTGCATATATATTTTTGTTTTTTGATACAAATGCAACATGTATTGTTTGAGAAGTATTTCTTTTATTTCATACTTTTATACAAATATTTCAATTTCTTTGTAAAAATTAATTTCTTTGTAATAATTATTTTAAAGGAATTAACAGAATAATTAACTTTGACAAGTAGTATTTTATTATTTGTAAAATAAATTACCAGTCGTGAAAATATCTTCGGAAAATATTTTTCAAAATTTTTATGTTCTATTTTTTATAAGTTTGAAATAATAATCGCTTTTGCTGCAAAAAATTGATTAGATAAGCTAGTCAATGTATCATCCAATTGTTTTTAAACCATAAAAATGATTTATGAATACGTTACAATTCATGTATAAAATAGAGTAATTCCAATTTTTCCTACCGCCGATTAAAAAAATGCATTTTCAATAAAAATGTTTGAACAAACTACGAGAAAAATTTCAAAGAATACAGCTTATAGAATAAAATACTGTTATATGTTATATGTTATATGTTAGTAATGCATACTATTTTGTAACTGGTCAAAATTTTCATTGTACACGTTACACACTTTCGCGTACACTAATAGCGCATGATAACCGCAATGATAATCTGTAATGCCAAATTGATTAATTGTCGCTGTACGCATATTGCGGTCAGCATATGCCATCAAATTCATCTCGTTTATGGTAACCCAACATTTCACCTAAAAGCAGCATTAGAATAAGAACATAAAAATATCTCTCTTCAAAAGTTATAGAATTTTATAATTATAAAATTATATACTTATAAAATTTTAGAAAATGTCATCTTTTTCTTTTTCTTTTTTTTTTCTTTCTCGAGTTTGGAAACAAAATTATACATTTGTAAGTATGAATTTTTTAGAACAATAAAGATTTTGTTTTTTTTAATATTTTTTATTCTATGTTTCGTATCCGAAGGATTTAAATATTACTTTAAATTCTTAACGTAATTTTGAAACTGTTCTAATATAAAATTGACACGTTCATCCAAAAGTTATAAATTGAGCAGTAAATCCCAGTCAAACAGAGTAATTGTATGAGTGTCACATCATTCGTTATAATTTCATTAATAACGTTGTTATAGTGTCGTATAGCATCTTCGTTAACGAAGTTTCTAAAGCCGTGCAGCAAAATTCTTACCCATGACAAGGACATCTTAAACATTTTAGTCTGCAAATGAGCAAACTTCTTAGACGACACCACACGAAGAAGAGTATCGTTATATTACAATATTCTTGCATCAACAGTCTACTCGCACCAATGCTTTTTGAAAGCAGAATATTTTTCTTATAATATTGGAGCCAAAATTTATATTAATAATATACAAATATTTTGAAAATTATTATTTAGGATATATGTACATATAATTTTTCGTGTATCATACAATGCAATTTCTTGTATAAGAAAAATGTATTTATCTTATTTTTTCAGTAAATTATGCGTTTTACGATAAAACAAAGACATTTATGGTATTTAAAAGTACAAAAAAATTTATTTTATAAAATATGCAATTTAGAAAAATAGTTTATAGATTTATAGATAATTAAATATTCCTGAATTCTTAGAAATAATATATTTTTAATACTGATTTCTAATAATATACAACATGTCGTAGTACAACTAAACGTTGTAAAAGATATATAAGTACATACAAATTTCTACTTAATAAATAGATATATAATTAAGTTTATAAAAAACAAATATTCCGTTTAAAAATAATTTATGTATATGTATATAGAACATAAAGATTATAA